ATTCCACGACCTGGGGCTGCGAAAACCTGGAACTTCCCCCCCCCCCCCAGCCTACCAATACCTGCCTGGGGAAAGACGCGGCCCTAAGCGAACGTGCGAAGCCTCGGGACGGATGCGGGCGGAGGAGGGTCAGGCCGGGGTCCTTGGAGGGGGGGAGGGGGCGGGAGGGGTAAAGCGGAGCAGGAGGCACAGGACTCGCACTCTCTTCCCGAAGCCAAAGCCACGCAGTCAGCGCCCTCTGCGGAGGGGGGGGGAGAGGGAGGATATCAAGCCGTGTCCTCTCCTCCCCCTCTTCCAAGGGAAGGGTCCTCAGCTTGGGAAGGCCAGGCTCCTGCAGGAGGGGGCTCCAACCTTGGCCACTGTTGAGTTTGGGGTCTTCAACTCCCAGAAATCTGGCTGTTTGGATTCCACAGGTCTTAAAGTTGCCAAGGTTGGAGCCCCCCCCCCCGCCCTACAGCCCGCTCCGTTGCAAAGGCCAAGCCCCCCTTGAAGCCATCAAAGACAGGGCCAACTTCATTTTTGCTGTTTGTCCAAGGAGCCAGAAAGTCATTTAAAAATAACCTAAAATGAGGGCAGCAGAGCCCGCTCTTCCAAAGCTCTTCGCCTTTCTTTTATTTTAATGGCACCGGGATGAAAATTAAGAGCTCTGTTTAACCCGGGAACCGGCCTTCGTAAGATGGGTCGCCTTAAACAAAGGCGCTGCCTGCATCTTCTGAAGGCAGGACGGAAGTCACATTTCTTGGTGTCCTCTTGTTCACGCGGTTGGCCTGATTGCTGGGCAGGTTAATGGCTCAGTTATTCACTGAATTCAATGAAGAAACTCTCAAAAACTCTGGCCAACCTTAATGCATTGGACAATTGCAGTTGGGTTTAAGGGGGGAAAAATCAGATTCTGGTTCCATATGCTGGATGAGACTAAATGGGACTTGGTTAAAACACGCAACACAACAGACACAGACACACACTCACACACACCAAAAAACCAACTGCAGGGAAATTGCTATCTGTCGCTTTGTTTTCTCTAGTCTTTATGGGGTCTTTTAAGCCAATCTTTCTCAATTTAGGCCAGTTTTAAGTATGGGAGGCTTACAATGCTCGTCAAGGCACACTCTGTCGTTTGATAAGCCTGCTTTGAAGGATTTTGCATACTCCTTTAAATATATATATATTCAAAAGAATATATATATATATTTAAAGGAGTATATATATTTAAAGGATATAAATTGCAAAATTATTAAATATATTAAACATACACAGTATATTGCAAATCTGCTCTTAATGCCTTTGGCCTTTTGCTCTTAAGTGTCCTTGCAAATGAATCCATGTGGCTCAAGCGCCATCTAGTGGCCGGATCGATAACTAGCTTGAGCCCATTCAAGGGCTAGTCTGTAACCTTGGCAACTTTAGGACTTGTGGACTTCAATTCCCAGAGTTCCTCAGCCAGCTGGCTGAGGAATTCTGGGAGTTGAAGTCCACAAGTCTTCAAGTGGCCAAGGTTGGAGAGCCCTGGTTTAGGGAGATGCTCCACCATCCAGGTCACATTTGTCCCAAAGGTGCTTTTTTTTTTTTTCCAAGAGGCAACTGGACTTCCTGGTTTTTCTTGGAAGACGTTTCACTTCTCATCCAAGAAGCTTCTTCGGCGCGAAAAAAGAACTGAACTGAGAACTGAAGAAGCTTCTCGGATGAGAAGCGAAACGCCTTCAAAGAACAGAAATTGTGTGAGCTTCATCCCTGGAGGCTTTCAAGAAGAGACTGGACTTTATAGTAAAGAAAAACAACATACTTACTTATACTTATACATGTATTAACAGCGGCTAGAATCGTATTTGCTCAAAACTGGAAAAGTGATGAGATACCGATAGAAGGAAAAATAATTAAAAAAATATTTGAATGTGCAGAAATGAATAGATTAACATTAGAAATTAAAGAAAAAGAATCTGGATATTACATGGTATGGGACTTGTTTTATCAATGGCTAGAAAATAAAATTAATTAAAAGGGATTAGACGTCATTGTAAAGCAATAAGAGAAACTAGTATAATAGATATACTGAATATTACTTATATATATGGGAACGTGATTATTATTATATGGTTATACTGTTAAGAAGAATATTATTAGTAATTGTTAAGCACATGAAATATGTACCTAATCGACACACGATTGAAATGGAATGGATTTATGGTATGTTAAAATAATAGTAATAATAATAATAATAATAATAATAATAATAATAATAATAATAATAATAATAATAATAATAATAATCTGGAAGAAGAAATTGGGACCGCCATGTGTCAGAAATGGTGTAGGTAGGGTCTCCTGCTTGGGCAGGGGGTTTGACTAGATGACCTTACAAGCTCCCTTCCACCTCTGTTAATCTCTTAAAAACCGGAAAGTCCAGGTGCCTCTTGGGAAGGGGAAAAAACAACCAACCAACCACCTTTGGGCCCACAGGTGAGCGCCTGCCGAGAGATTTCCGCGGAGGGCGTTTGAAAGGCGGCGGGCGAGGGAGAAGGGGACGCCAGCCAGGGGGCTCCGCGGCTTCTCCAAGCGGCCAGCCCGGGGCAGGGCAGGGAAGGGATATTTCCAGGCCTGCCTGGAAGGAACCGGAAGGCCGGGGGCGGCCAGAGGCGAAGCCAGCCCAGCCTCCCCCTTCCCAGCGCTGGAAGAGCCGGAGGAGGCGGCGCCCGGGACAAAGGGAAGCGGCGCGCGGGGCGCTGAAGCCGCCGGAGGAGCCCCCGCGGAGGCGGGCAGGTGAGTGCGGGGGGGGGGGATCCCGGTCCCTTTCCAGCCAGCCCCGCGGGGACTCCGGGGCGCCCAGCGGAGGGTCTGCTCAGCCCCGAAGCCCCCCTTGCAAAAGAAGAGGGCTGGGCTAGGAAGGCGCTCGACCCCGCGAGCCTTCCCCCAGCCCAGCGAGCCTTGGTCGGGGGAAGCGGCTGGGAGAGCCCCTCCGGAAGGTCCAGGCGTGGGGGTGGGATGATTTCTGCAGAAAAGACCCCCCCCCGCCCCCGTCTGCCCCCAGAGGGCAGCTCCATGCTGGGCACGGAAGGGAAGGGGAGGGGGAGGAGTTGAGGAGGGGCTCTGCTTTTGCCCACCGCCCCAGATTGGGGGGGGGGGGCAGCTGGTTCCCCCAGGTCTGGCCTTTCCAGGTCTCCCTCCTCTCTCGTTCCTCCTCGCAGTGATTTTTGTCCAGGTGCGGGAGAGGGATGCCAGTGGATACCCAAAGGCCACCTAGAAGTAGAATTAAGGGGACCCTCCCCCCCCCCCCGCCCACTCCTCTGAGCTGCCTTTGATTTTCTCCCATTTCCAGCCGCCGGACCCAACTCAGAACGTGGCCAAAGACATTGGGATGGAGAACTTGGGGTGCTGTGATATGACTTGCTAAAGGAAAGAGAGAAGTTGGAGAAAACCCCCATCCAGAGAGGCCCGTTATTTTCGCAGCAGGCACACCAAACAGGACGCCCTTCCTGGGGGGTGGGGGGTGTAAATTAGGCCGCAGAATTGCACACCTGGGGCCAGGTAGGTGACCACCGGGAAGGGAGGACCCCAAATTCAAGATTTTGGCCTCCTTCCCACGTCTCTCCCAGCAAAATTCTCTTTTGCAGCTGGTGCCTTTCCTGGTTCTTTCCAGCTGAGTTTTAAGAAGGAGAACTGGGACCCCCCTACACACACACCTCCTAGGAAGGCCAGTGGCAGCACCTTCTTTCCCTACCCCCCACCCCAAAAAACCATGGACTTCTGAGATTTGCAGGCGGAGGTGGGCTCTGCCAACCAGCTCTCACCTATCCTGGTTTGTTGCACCCCTTCTTCTGGATTGGCTCCACCACCACCGACCCACGTGACCCAATCGTGACTGCTGTGCCCACAATATTCTTCCACCGGGCCTTTCCTTGAGCAGTGCTGGGAACCAGATGGTGCCCAACAAACTCCCCGAAAACACAGGCGGCCACGGAAAGGCCACCTCCTTGCCAGATTTTGAAGGGTTGCCATCTTAGCTTGTTGGTGGGATACACGATCTCAGCCGCTGGGGCTTCAGAGGCAGGTACGGCGTTGGCAGCGTGTGTGTTTTCGGTCCTGCAGGCGCCTCGGTGCCAGGCACGTGTTGCAACTGTCAACCGGGTGGTTTCCTTCCAAACAATGAAGTTGGCAGCTGTTAACTTTGGAAGAGGATAAATGTGGGTGGCAAGGAGAATGACTCGGTTGGTTCCGTATGGGCAGGAGCGGTCAGACCTGATGAGCAACTCCGGCCGTGTTGATTTCCGTCGTCTGTCCGCTTCGTCCTTTTAAAATGGTCTGAAGAGGGGAACTAGCTGGCCAGGGAGCTCTGCTTTGCTTGCTTGTCAGATTTGATGGAGCCGCCGTTTCCCCTCTTGGTCCTGAGGACGTCACTGCCCTTAGATGGACCCAGGGCCCTGCATTTATTTATTTGCCTTTATTCCTCTTCAGGTGGCGGACATACTGTATAGAACTCTCCTTCCTCTTCCTGCATCGCCCTATGAGATGGGTTGGGCTGGCAGAGAGGGACTGGCCCAAAGTCACCCAGCCGGCTTTCGTGGCTAAGGCAGGACTAGAATTCACCGTCTCCCAGTCTCTAGGCCAGCACTACACCAAACAGGGCTGTGTGGTAAACTTCCTTGGCTTTGATAAATCCACCTTTGTGGAGGTTTATTTGATGACAAGGGAGAATCTGGGAGCTGGACTTCAACTCCCAGAATTCCCCAGCCAGCTGGCTGGGGAATTCTGGGAGTTGAAGTCCAGACACCTTAAACTGGCCATGGCAGAGAAACACTGCAATAGATGTCGCCATTTTGAGACTGGTAAGGCCCCAAGTGGCCCTTGGCATCCAAGATGGCTGCCGGGACCCACTCCTCTTTTCTCGCTTCTCCTTCCCAGGGACGCGCAACCATGAAGCTGAATGAAAGGAGCCTCTCCTTCTACGCCACCTGCGCCTCCCCGGCCGACCACGTCGGCTTCCTGCACAAGAAGGGCGAGCGGAACACGGCCTACCACCGGCGCTGGTTCGTGCTGAGGGGGAACATGCTCTTCTACTTTGAGGAGCGGGAGAGCCGAGAGCCCGTGGGCGTCATCGTTCTGGAGGGCTGCACGGTGGAGCTGTGCCAGGCCAGCGAGGAGTTCGCCTTCGCCATCCGGTTCGACGGCCCCAAGTCCCGCACCTACGTGCTGGCGGCTGAGAGCCAGCCCGCCCTGGAGCGCTGGGTCAAGGCGCTCTCCAGAGCCAGCTTCGACTACCTGCGCCTGGTGGTGAGAGAGCTGGAGAAGCAGCTGGAAGAGATGCAGGCGGCCGTCCCGGGCGCCCAGCCGGGCCCGAGACGGCAGCGGCTGCTGCATCGCAAAAACAAAACAGCTCCCAATTTGGAACTGGCTGCCCTGCCGCGGGAGAAGCCAGCCCTGCCCGTTGGCATCCCCGGGAAAGAGAACGGCTGTGCCTTATGGAATAACTCGGAGGCCTCGGCCAGCTGGTCTCCTGCTTGCAGAGAGGCAAACTCTTATGGCACAGCCAAGAGCTACGACGGAGGGCTCAAACCGCCACCGTTGCCCCCTCGTAGGCGGTCACTGCCGAGCAGCTCCGGTGGGCTGAGCTCAGACAGCCCACCGTCTCCGAGTGGCGTGTGTTTCTCCCAATTGCATGGTTGGTACGGCCAGGAGATCGTGGCGTTGCAGAAGGCCTGGCTGGAGGGCCAGAAGGGGAAGGAGAGCAGCCTTTGAAACCCCCCAGGGGTGGAGAGGCGCTTCCTGGAAAAACTGAACCGCCTGAGGCTCAGCCACTCTTGGAAAACCCAGCAAGGCCGTCTGGCAGATGAGACTCCGGGAAACTTTGGTCTGCCGATAGCCCCCTTCTGTGATTCATGGAAAAGTCATGGCCGGTGCCAGCTCACATTCCTCCAAACCCCCCACCCTCCTCGCCAGGCCAAACTTTCTAGTTCCTGGAGGCCTCCACCGTTAAGGGATCGCGACGAGATGTTGTTGGAAACCGGAAAAGGGTTTTCCTCTGGAAACACTCACAGCCCCAGGAAGCAAAGTAACCGAAGTGAGCCAGGAGCCTCTTTCGATCCCTGGACGCACAGAGGGTCGTTTCAAGTCGGTCCTCGGAGCAGAGAGGAGGACGACCGTTTGCAGAAGCCCCGGAGGACCGTGGAAGGGGTTGGGCTTGGCTCAACGGCTTCTCCAGGAAGACAGGTGCTCCTCCCCACCCAATTCAGTTGAAGGAGGAGGAGGAATTGTGGATGTGCAGTAAAAGGAATTGTGGGTGTGCAGTTCGAGATTCTTGTCCGTTAGAAGGGGGACGAGATCAGGTGAGATCTCAGAAGTCACGAAGGCCATAGGGGGGGCGGGGGGTCACCCTCTTGGAACTTAAACTCTCTCACAGGGTTGCTGGGGGGTTGGGAATCCAGTGAGGAGGTCCGTGTATACAATAAACGGGGTGTACTCTTACAATCAAGAAACGAAGGGACTGAAACACTTCGGCCGCCTCCTTCCAAAGGTGCAACACCATCTTCTCTTTGCCTAACTAACTAACCCTTGTAGGCATTTTCTTACCTGGAAGAGGAACCTCTTCGGCCGCCGCCGTTTATAATGGAGAGCTGCTTTCCCTGGAAAATTTGCTTAGTTTATTCGTTCTGCGGGACAGGAGTGGATAAAAGCAGCTGTTAACTCGGAGGCCCAAACCTTGAGCGCAATAAACGGGAGACATCAGGCCGAGGTGTTATAGAATTTCTGTATTTTCCTTTTTTAACGGCTCTTTACAGGACGTAATAGGCCTTTTTTTCAGTATTTAACAAACTCCGGTCAATCTTGTAGAAATTGTTTCAAAGTACAGTACAGGTGCCTAGAAAAAGGGGAACTGACGCACCTCGCCAGGTTCGAATACAACCGGTCTCTCTCAAGGGTGGAGAACTTAAGTGCTTCGTTAAAAAGAAGAACAGTCCTTTCCCATTAAAACTAATCTCGAGCCTTTGGTGAAGAAGAATCCCTGGATCCCACTCCACATTTTATTTGGATAGATAGAAGTTGAATTTGTTCAGGGGTTTCTAGGCAAATGACATTTCCAGGTTCTTTCGGCGGATAGACCAAACTGGGTGAAATAAGGAACATTAAATATATAAAAATACTTTCAGTTCTGATTTTAAAAATGCACATAATGGGAAGGCCAAACATATATATTTTTGGGGTGTGGGGGAGGTAACTGGTTTCTCTTTCCCTGTTTGTAAATTAGATTCAAAAGGGTTTTTATCGCATCTGTGGGAACAAATCAATGGCTGGGTGAAAAGCTTGAGGAGATCACTCCATTAAAAGCAGGAGAAGAAGACAGGGCCACCGTTAGGGTCTCTTCTCTTCAAATAATGAAAACATCTGGTGGGAGACTTCCATCGAAGGAAGAAACCTGCTAGGTCGAAGACAGTCCCATCAGCTCTTCACCTAGTTTGGAGATAAAAGTCAAGTGGATGGGAATTACTTAAATAATCCAGGACCAGCTTCCTCCCCAGACTGGCTATTTCCCTCCTTCCTTCCTTTCTGGCATGGAAGAGGGATCCAGAGAAGGCCTTGGGAAGCGGAGAAGAGGAGGAAGAGGGCCTGGATTTAATCTTCACCTTTTCTCCCAAGCTTTGAATTAACATGGGTGGGGTGGTGAATTCATACCATTATTATTAAATGTATTTGCTGCTACTCCAAGGGGAAAACATTTCTATTCTGTTTTACTGCTCCGGGTCAAAAAAACGTGTCAAAATATCTGCTTTCCTCCAGACCTGAAATGTTGAACTAAGCAGGCAGGGACTATTTTCATGCTTTTTTAAAAAAAAAAGTGTCGTAATTCTCTTTAAAGCAGGGGTGTCCAACCTTGGCCCCTTTAAGACTTGTGGACGTCAACTCCCAGAATTCCTCAGCCAGCTTGGAAGTTGAATTTCCACAAGTTTTAAAGTGGCCAAGGTTGGACGCCCCTGCTTGGAAGTCTTCTCTGGCAGAAACCAGAGTCGTAACAGATGGTTCCATTTAGCAAATGCACCTTTTTTTAAACTAAAGGATGCTTTGTAGGGGGGGGGGGGGAAAAAACCCCTTTCTGGATGGGATTGTAAAGGCGAGAAAGTCATTCTCTGGAATCGGGGTACCTCTTGTTCAACAAGGCCCTTGAAAACATATTTCCACACAATAGCATGCAACACCTCTCTCTTTTTTCTGTGTTGCCTCAAAAAGAAAGAAAGACAAAAAGGAAACATACCACTCAAACTAAATAGCAGACTCAAGAGGGCACCGCAGGTTCCAAATTTAGAGTCTTCATGGACTACAAGAGAAACGTTTCTTGACAGGTGGAGTAGAAGAAAGTATTACAGACAAACGCAGCGTCTGCCAATCAAGTTTAGTAACGTTTTGGTCAGTCTCATAGTGCTTCTTGATGGCTTGGATCAATGAGCCAAGGTTCCTATTTTTTAATTTATTTTAATTTTTTTTTTCTCTTTAATCTCATCCAGTGGCAAACTACAAGACTTTCAGTGGGCATTTAATGATACAACTGATACAGTTTATCTTTTAATATCAAAGCAGCTTGAGCTGTTAATAAATTCCAAAGTTTCCTTTTATTAAAATATCTAAAAGAGGTCTATAAATATTATTTTAATATTTTTTCCTTCTAAAAGTGTTCTCAGTTTGTTCCTGTGTGTCTGTTTTCACATTTAAAACCCCCAAAATTCGGTTTTAGGTTACCTTCGGAGCTAAGAAAGAGCAGCGATCTCTCGCGTTCGAGAAAGTGCAGCTGATTTTGTCTCTTCCTTAGACTTGATGAAATTAATAAAATATGTGTGTTTGTGTGTTTTTATATATATATATATATATATATATATATGTATGTATATATATATATATATATATATTTATAGATCTGGTTTTTTTTCTATACACTCTGCTAAGGACTCCCTGCTTTTTTGTCCACGTGTCCCGTGGAGTTTAGAACCTGGACAACGTTATTTAGGTATTCGGTTCTGATTATTTTCTTTTTTTCCGTTCAGCCCTTCAAAATTCCCACTCCAGAGTCTCCTCGCGATTGGCGGCTCTTTCCAGCCGGTGAATTATGCTGTTGAGGTTAGCCACTTTCTCGTTCCGCCGCTGGGTGTTCGTAGTCAGTTTGGCGCTGGGTGGCGCCGTGGTGCCTGTATCTGCGGCTGGGCTGGCACTCTGCCCTCTGGTGGCCGCCACGCTCACCGGCAAGGGGGAAATGGGAGCGGAGGAGGATGGGACAGGGGAGACGGACATGAGGAGTCCCGGTGAGGAGGCGGCGGATGGAGAGGTTAGAGAAACTTCCAGGCTGCAACGGGAGGACTCGGAGGCGGATTTGAAGCTGACGGGGTCCGAAGGAGACCTCTCGCAGCCTTCGGTCTCCACGGGGTTATGGAAACTGGAATAGTTGTGAGCCCCGGGCAGGTGTGTCTTGCTACGTAGGGTGCTGGCCCAGGTGAGGCTGGGAGGTTCGTGTGGGCCCACGCAGCCAGGCTCTTCTGGGTCTTCCGTGGGGCTGGATGCAGATACGGGCTCTAACTCGCCTTCTGGACAACAACAATCTCTACTGCTGACTCTGTCGCCTTTGTCACCAGCTTCCAGCTGCTCCTCCTTGATTTCCACCAGCGCTTTGCATTCTCCTTGGCACTCCACGTTTCTGAAGGTGGGCTTTTGCTCCTCCCCTTCTGAGTTGGGGCTCTGGGGCTGGGCCCCCTTGAGCAAAGGGCCGGCGGGGGTCACGCTCTGCTCTGCGTCTGTGTCGTCCTGGCTGCCTTCCATCAGCATCTCTCGGCGCATCCGAGACCTGCCGAGGAAAAAGGCCAGGGGTTCTTGCAACCACAGGAGACCCCCCCCCCCCCAAAAAAAACATCAACGAGAAAGACAGACACCAGGCTAACGTAGCTCAGGAGGTCGAGAGCTTCTTGAGTTGCCTCAACTCCTGGACTGGGTTTCCACAACACAATTAACCCCTCCAGTTAAAGACCAGTGGGCCACTTTCTTGCAACGTGGCAAGCTTGGTGTTTTGCTGGGTTGTCCCCCGATTCTGCATTTGAACCCAGAAAATGATTTCATTTAGTAGGCAGAAGTGGGTGATTGCATACAGAGCCATGATATGGATGTAGAAAAAAAATGTATTTTTTTCCCTGAAAGTTAGTGGGCTTTATCAAGAGCAGAAAAATCTGAGGGCGAGGCCAACATTGCAAATGCAAAAGCACAAAATTAATACTCGAGTAGCCTAGGTTTTGTGGTTGTGTTCACACCTAACCAGTATGTAGTGCTACCTTTCATCGGTCATGAACTATCTGACACAAAGGGAAGTCTGCTTGGTGCAAACCTTAAAGACCCAGGAAATCTGGATTCCCAGGCGAGAAGGGCTGCTTTCCAGAGGGCAAAGAATTGACACAGAGAGAGTTATAACAGCTCCTCCCTAGCACTTCCCAGAGTATATTTATAGTTCTACAACTAGTTGCTTTAGTCTGGCAAGATTCTGTCTAAAGGTGAAGAAGAAGAAGAAAGGAAACTAAAGTAACTCCATGTGCCGTTCTTGGGGTCTGACACAGGAGAGGTGGCACAAGGTGGGGTTGACCTGCTGTTTACCTGTAATTGTGGAACCAATTAATCACCGTGTTGGTCTTGAGGTTGAGCTGGAAGGAGAGCAGCTCGATCGTCTGCTGGGAGGGGTACGGTTCCAGCTGGTAGGCCCTCTTCAGGGTCTCCTTCTCCTCCGGAGCCAAGACCACCCTTGGCTTCTTGATTTGTAGGAGGCTGAGGTCTTGCAGCTGAAGGCTGGGACTGGGACACTCGGAACGAGGGTGGGGGGACTCGCTGTCGGAGCCACCACTGATCAGCCCGTAACGACGTTTCAGATACGCTGCAGACGGGAGAAAATCAGAGGAAGCCTTGGGGTTGTTTTTTTTTGGGGGGGGGGGGGGTAGGGGGAGTCACATCTTCATTTTTCTAAATCCCAATCAGGCCATGGGTTTTGAGAAGTTGCCACGGATCCCCGACTTCCGACGACAATTTGAGCCCAAATTTTCTATTGTTAAGTGAAACATTTGTTAAGTGAATTTTGCCCTGTTTTACAATCTTTCTTGCCACGGTTGTTAAGTGAATCTGGATTCCCCATGGATGTTGCTCGTCGCAAAAGAGGATCATGTGATCGTCATAAATACGAGCCCGTTGCCAAGCATCTGAATTTCGATCATGTGACCATGGACTTACATGCAAAAAAACCGGTCATAAATCACTTTTTTCAGTGCCGTTGTAACTTTGGTCACTCAATGAACTGTTGTAAGTCGAGAACCAGCTATAATCAGTAGCTGCTCACGGGAAAACAAGGGAGGGAAGAACAGATCACAGCCTAGTCTGCTGGCCAGCAACCGAGTGCCAGAATGAGTCCGAAATTAACCCTGGAAGGATGTGAGCTCCCTTGCAGACCCATCATCACAAAAAAGTCACAAGGGCCGGTAGCCATTTTATTTAGCCTTTTTATATATTCCTTTTCTTCCTTTCTCTTTGCTGATTATGGGGGGAAGGGTTTCGAGCTTGCCACATTCCTAAGCGGGGAGGAGTGGAGATAGTCAGAGTTGTTTAGGCTAGGTGGTTCTTCTTCCCGTGGGAACGAAAACTGACCCTGCTGAGACCTGGAGGTGGAGACTGATGACACCAGGCAAACGTGGATTTGCCTCTGTTGGGGAATGGGACTTTTAGAGGTTGTTTCTAATCCCGGGTTGAGTCAGATCCGGAATTACAACAGACTTTGCCAATTTGATGCTATTGTAAATAAAAGAAATTATTATGGAAGATGGACTTTGTTCTTTTTTCTTTTTTGAATGGATTTCATCACTTGGAAACCTGACATTATTCCTATGTCAGCAGCATCCTTTTTTGGGCAAGCAAGAAGGAAGTTGTTGACACAACCTTGTGCTCTTGAACCCTTCCCTTAAACAACTTAAAAGGAGGGCTCTCCAACCTTGGCCACTTTAAGACTTGTGGACTTCAACTCCCAGAGATCCTCAGCCAGCAAAGTCCAAAGTCTTAAAGTGGCCAAGGTTGGAGAGCCCTGACTTAAAGGATATCATCTTAAAAGAAATTTATGGTGGGTCTTGTTCCGCCAACTTGGGCATAGTATCTCCAGAGGAGATCTGAAGCTCACCCAACGCCCGGCTTCTGCACCCAACCCCTCTCCCTTTGCCACTGCAAGCCCGGCGGGTGAGGAACGAGGACTCCTCACCTTTCTTTTCCAGCTTTTTCATGTCCCGGAGTTTGTCAATGTTGTGAGGATCGTTCAGCCAGAGCTGCATGCGGACAAACGGTTCCCTTCCCTTAAGGCTGAGTTTATGCCAAGGCTTGGGCCTGGAAAGGAGGTCTGAGACGGAGCCCTGCGTCAGGCCCAGGATGCTCTCCCCGAAAAGGCGCTGACCTAAGCAGGGAGACAAATTGGAAAATGGAGGCTGCAGTTGAGGGGCCAGGATAAAGTCACCATTTTCAGCAGGAAAGGCCCTTTGGGGGTCATATTTTGTTTCTTTTAACTTTACACACACAGCTGTTGCCACGGGTTCTTTCATCCAGGGAGTACCAGAAAATGTTTTCTCCCTCTTCCAAAGGATTGGGGAGAAGCAGACGCGAGTTTGTCCCGGAGGAGTTAAAATTTTACTCGGCGGCGCTAATTCCAGCTGATAAGGAGAAGAAATTCTGCAATCAGCCTCCACCCACAATGGTGCGATCTCAATTTAAGCTTCCAGTTTATTGCCTGTTTCTCTGGAATGATAGCACCTTCTCAGTCCCTGACCTAATTCCCATCTTAATCCGTCTGGGAACATGCTACAGAAATACAAATACGATTAGCCATATCCCTGGAATGGAGAAACCCCTCAAGAGCTTTTAGTACGTCCTCGATGCTGGACCCCAACGTGTGTTCTAATTAGACGGCCTCCTTCTGCCCAACCCTTTTTAATTTAGTTATCTCCACCCTACTGAATTGGCAGAGGAGAAGCAAAATATGCATTGCTCAGATTAAAGCCAATGGCTATGAAGTCCTCAATCCTTGAAATTTCTGGACAGGAGAATATCTGAGCAAGTTCTTGGTGGGAACTTCTTCTTGGCCTCCGTCCTAGACCAAGACCCCACCCAAGACCCCTGGGAACAGGGCCACCCGTGGCTTCATACCAAGGTTGTTGTCGGTCAAGACTTCCTTGACCTTCTTGGTGATGCAGTAGGTGTCCAACTCAGGGGACATGGCCACGATCTCCTGGATGCCAACAGAGTTGTGGTTGGGGCACAACTTGCTACCCAGCAAGGAGGCGGCTTTGCTTTCCGGCTGCTGGTTTTCTTTGCTGCTTTCCAGGGCAAGACTCGGGGGCTCTGGGGGGCTTTCCTCTTGCTCAGAAGGACTGGCTGGTGGGGAAGGAGAAGACGGAGACCCTCTGGGGCTGGCTGTGAATGGGGAAAAGAAGGAAGGGAAGAGATCAAATGCAAACGATTATTTTCCAATAAGTTCCAGGACTGGAGAAGACCTCCAAGGCCTTGTGAGGGCATCTTCATAGCACCATAACTGATTTAAATAGCTAAAAGGCACTGCAGAAGAACAATAAATAAGGGTGGCCAAAGGTTATGGGTGTCAGGATTCCAGCAATCGCTCTAATTAAATCATGATTCTCGAGCCAAACTTCAAAAAACTTCAAAAGATTTATTAGAGGCGACATACTGGCACTGCCCTATATAAAGCCAACTCTGACTTATGTAATTTACAGTCCCCTGTGACCCTGTTCCCGCCTCCCCTCTGGGTGTCTCATAAACCAGATTCTCCAATTGAGCACCTTCACGGCCTGGGTGTCATCATTCACGTTCTCCAATTAAATACATTCATGGGCAAAAGCTCTGGTAGTTTAGTTACAGTCTTTTAAAGAGAAGAGTTGGAATGTACTTTCGATTTCAGCTGCTCTTTCAGATTTCCTCCCCCCCCCTTTTTTTTAATGGCAACTACTAAAACAGGCATAGGAATGTTTCACGAGTGGACAACGGGGTTGCTTTGGCTGCCCAGGATAAGCATGAAGTGAGAGCCAAGGATGGAGGTGCCCACCTTGAGGAAGGCTGGCCTGCTGGCTGATGTTTTGGCCCAGCTGGTCGGAGAGCCAGAGCTGCATCCGGATAAAGGGTTCCCGTCCCTTCTGGGTGAGCTTGCTCCACGGTTTGGGCCTGGACAACATGTCGCTCACGCTGCCTTGCGACAACCCCAGCACCTGAAGGAGAGGGGAGGGTGTTGACATCTCGATTCGGCTTGATAAAGCCGAGAGGCCAGGCAGAAAGAATGCAAAAAACAATCTAACACTCAAGGGGGAAAAACGCAAGAGAATGGGAGGCGTGTAGGAAGGAAGGCCTGAGCTCCAACCCGCTGTCGAAACAAGGGAGGGATCTCAACAGCTTCCCGAAGGCCAGAAGATAAGGGCCCGTTTGAGCCACGTGCAGAGCTCAGCATTCAAAGTCTTCAGGAAAAAAAAAATCTCCCTCAAGGAAAAAGATAAAATTCAGCCAAGGCAATAAATGGATTCTAATCAAGCAGCTGTCCGGGCTTGCTGGGAATCAGGGCCAGTCTAGGAAAAATAATGTAGGAATCAGAGCCTTCGCGTCACCAGCAAGAGCATTTTCATTTTATTTCCAATTTCTCCGTAGCTTGCCTTCCCTCGTATCTCTCTCACACATTTTGTCTGCCTTGTACTCCCTCAACACTACACATGCTCCCCCAGCCTCTCTACACTGGGCTGCTCCTGGATAGCACAACTCCTCGGGATAATTGTGCGGCTCCTGCCTTTGAGGTTGGAAATGGGATCTAATGGGATCTCACAACTTGGAAGGGGATTTCCAAGGGGACCAGGGGGACGGTCTGTGTCAAAGGCCATTAATCACCACCATGGCTGGGGAGAGAGCTCAGGCTTCCAAAAATGTCAGCTGCAGGAGAACATCGGCACGTCTCCACCTTCTACTGCAGTTTGGCCACTCTGGGGAACAAGTGGACCAGACCAAGAGGAGGTCTGGTTTGCTCCAGCACAAGCGATATTTAAAAAAAACAACAAAAAAACAAGGAACGCCCTACCAATCATTTTTCTTTCCTTGGCAGTTTTTCCCCTTGCTAAGAAAGAGTGAAAGGTGAGGAGATCTTATCTAGCCCATCTCTGCATGATCACAACCTTGTCCTGCTGACCTCCCTTCTCAAGCCAGCCAACCCGGCTTCCTCGCGACTGACGATTGAGCTACCTTCTCCCCAAAGATGCGTTGGCAGATCCCGTTCTTCGCCAACTTCTCCTTGACTTGCCGTGTGAGTTCCAAGGTGTCCACCTCCTTGTACATGTACATCTCGTACTGCTCTGGGGTCAACGGGGGGACGGTGGGCTTGAGAGTCCTCGGCACGTAGGACGGGTAGTAAGACAAGCGCCCGTTTCCTTGGGCATCTGAACCCACCGCTTCTGACTTGACTTCTAGCCCCCGATGGGGTTCGTCTTCCAAGGTGGGCAAGTCTTCCTCGTTCGGGCCAGAGTCCCCCAGTTCCCCACGTGGCCACGCTCGTCCGTTGGCCATGCTGGAGTAGCTGGACGAGGAAGAGAGGGAGGGGGACACCGAGGTGAAAGGCCGGTTGAGGAGGTTCCTGTCGGACGCCCAGTGCTGGTCAAAATAGGAGCCGGCGTCCCCAATCTCTGACTTGACTTTGCGGATGATGTTCTGCACGAAGGCGGCAGGGGAGAGCACCGTCAGAGGGGCCTGGGTCACACTGCTGCTGCCGCCGCTGCCGCCCAGCCCACTCCCTTCTTCCTGCTTGATGTAGGCACGGACGATGTTCTGGCTGAAGGTGGACAGAGGGGAGGGCTCCGCAGGGGGCGTGGAGATGGGTTGGCCGGGGCTGCCGGATTCTATCTCAAGCAAGGCCTGTTGCTGAGCTTGCATCTCACGGCGGGCCTGTTCCAGGATGTTCTTGATGGCGTCTTCGGAGCTGCTGGTGCTGATGCCGTTGGGGGCCGCCTGGGGCGCGGAGGTGCTCTTGGCCTCCCCTATGGAGCAGGGCAAAAGAGAGAAGAACATGGGATGGAGTCCCACCAAGCCATCGTGAACCCAAACCAGGAGGAGCTGCTCTGTGTCGTCTGCTGCACAGGGAGCAACATGGAGACTTAGGACGGGCCATGGGACGCTTGGGGTCAAATAGGACCCTTTTCTCCCCCCACCCGCCTCCAGACCATTCTGCTCCTGGGTCTCTTGCAACCCAACTTCAGATCCCGCGGACAATCTTTTCAGGCTTCAAAACATCGGGCAGAATCCACCCTTTCTGAAGCAGCCCAGACCCCCGACTTCAATCGTCTCGTGATGCAATTGACCTTTTCACATCATTTCAGTCAATGGAAATCATTGGCGAATGGATGCCGATGACGTAGGGATGTCAATTACGCAAATGGAGTAAAAAGCTGTCAATTACGTCAATTTGCATTTAAGAGAATTTTGACTGGGAGGGGAAACCTTCCCTTGAGCGCTTGCGTGCACACACAGACACACACAGACACACAGACACACAGGCGCGCACACACACAAACTTTTATTTGAGGTTTTATGGCCCTCCTCTGCTTGGACACAGAACGATTTCCTTGGCTTAAGGACAAGCCAGGACAGGTTGCGGAATTCCTACCTAAAAGGAACCGGCAGAGGGCAGCAGATGACACTTTAATTCCAAGGAAACAGAGGGAGTTATTGCCATGTTTAGAATATTTAAAGGTTGCCCCTGACTTCATTGAGATGGAGAGAAGAAATGAGGATTTATTGAAGGAAGGATTTAAAAATGCATCCGATTAGGGCCACTACTACACAAGGGCCAAAGTTAAGAAGAACTTAAAGCAACCAAGTCTCACCTTCCTATCTGGGTGATGGCCTCTTATTTTTCAATTTCAGAGGGCCAAAATGCACCCCCAAAGGCCTCTACCATCCCCACGGGCCCCTTACCTCCTTTCTGGGACTCAATCTCTTTCTTGGCCTGCTCCAAGATACTCTTGATGGCGTCGTCTGAACCGGTTTCTGGAGTCCTAATCCTCGGCGTAATGCTTCCTGATCAAATAGACAGAAGAGCGGAGACCGTCATTGGATCTGGAGTAGCTGTACTCGCCTAAAGTCAAGGAATCACCTACAGACACTCGTGATCCTCTTTTTCCTTCAGAAGGTCCTGTCTGAAGAAACATCTCTTGTGGTTAGGGAGGGAATCTGGGTCTCGGGTTGAGGAATGGGAGACAGCAGGAAAGGAAAAAAAACTAATAATCCCGGAACAATTCTTATCTTTCACTAAGAATCTGCTACAAAGACTGACGCCCAGATCATACTTGGGGCAGAACCTTGGTCCATCTCCTTCTGTAGAACCTCTGGTGGCTCTCCAGGGCTTCAGATAGGATGCAGTTGCAACAGTGGTCCACATGCCATGGAGGCCACCTAGGAAATAATCTCCTTAAAGCTTCAAACTCTCCCATAAATGATAAATACTATAACAGAATCCTTGCAAACATAGACCTCTCTCCTTGGAGAAAGCAACGTTTGGTTGCTACCATGGTGAGACCCTGACAGACAGACCGACAATCTGACAGACAGATTGGTGGGTCTAAGATACAAAAGGTGGCCTCCCTGAGACCGAAGAGATTCCCAGCCCTCTCTGAAATGCCAGGGCTGGCCGTGGGAGATTCTGCAGGCCAAGTTGGACTTGTTGAGTTGCAACCTTCCCCCAGAAACGGAAGCCATTCCGGTTCTGAATTGTGTGGTGGGACTGGTCTGGAGGTCTTGAAAACTGGAGCTGTGAACGATGTCCTGTTGGCAGCTCCAATGGGTTGACTCGAACTCCCAATCAAGCTTCTCAAAGGACACGTTTGGTTGGGCCAACCTCCCAGATTTGCTGTGTGCATTTCGTGGGGCTCCAAAATCGAGCTGTATCCTACTTCAAGTCGATTAGTGGGTAGCAGTATTATCTTAATTAAAACTCAATTTGCAGAGGAGCCAGTTGTATCACATCTTTGAGCCTGGCTCAGTTTTGATCATACGATTGTTCTTGAGCCCACAGAATACACGCGGCCTTGAAGAGATCCAGGCCAGGCCACAAGGAGCTCACTCCGAAGCATCCGCAAGGAGGAGGGAAAAGACCAAGACCGCGGGTGACTTACCTCAACTGGTTGGTCTTTGCTTAAGAAACCACAGAGAAGTTGGGAAGGGAGGGAGAAGTTTGAGTTCAAAGCAGGAAGAAGAAGAGGAGGAGGAGGAGGATGTGACATCCAGCACCCCACCCAGGTTCCCCGCCGTGAACCACTCACCTCTCTGGCGCACCTGAATCGTTCTCAGCGCTAGGACGTTCTGCTCGTCCGAGAGGAACTGCTTCATCTTGATGAAGGGCTCTTTCCCTTTGACGGTCAGCTTGCGCCAAGGCTTGGGCCGGGCCAGGATCTCGCTGACCGAGCCCTGCGAGAGGCCCAGGACGTAATGTCCGAAGACGCGTTGGCCGATGTTGTGCTTCAGCAGCTGTTCCTTCACCTGGAAAGCAATCTCGGCCGTGTCCAGTTGCTCCTCGTCGGCTGAGCTGGGATTGCTGCCTTCCGACTGGTCACTCGGGGGGCTCCCGTCGTTGGGGTTCGCGGGCAGCACCAGCCCTTTGGCGGCGTAGAAGGCGGAGGGGAAGCTGCCCGCGTTGCTGTTCTCGCTCTTGTAACCTGGGGGCCCCATCTGTGTGGGGAGAGAGGAAAGTCACGCTGGGGGTTCGCCAACACCCTGGCCCCGAAGACCCAGCTGCCAGTCCCCAGTACCTCTGGAGCCACCGTGGGGGCCAGCAGGGGCTGGAGGAGCGGAGGGGAGGTGGAGTCTTCCCTGGGCGGGGGCAGGAGCTGCTGGGGGGATGGGTAAGGTTGCTCGGGGCCCATGGAGTCCTTCACCGACTCGTCTTCCGAGGGATCCTCCTCTAGAGACCAAAGAGAGAGGAACACACACACGCACCAACTATAGCTTCCCTGGACCATGCCCGCTGGGGAGGATGGGATCTGGAGATCCAGGGGACAGCCTGGGAACATCGGACAGCCTGGGAAAGCCAGAGGAAGGAAGTGGACCCCTCTCAGATGCTCACCCATGATTTTTCCAAGGAAGAAACCATTGTTCGTTTATGGAAGGCATTTTTATGGCTCCTTTAGCCAATTGGAATGATTTATGGAAGAGGAATAAGCGGATAGAGTGGTGGATAATCCCCCGGGAGTGTTGGGAGTTGAAGTCCAACACATATCTTGGAAAGTCTCCTAGGATTTAGATTTAGTGTTTCTCCACGTTGGCAACCTGAAAATCTGTGGACTTCAACATG